TTTCGACGTGATGTGGTCAATTTGCCAAAGTCGTCCAGTTATAATACCGGTTGGTTTCTGTTTCCAATTCAATATCTGTATTTTGTAGATGTTTCGCAGCTTTTATACATAGCTCACTCTATTGCTGACTAAACGAAAAAATTTGATGCCTTTAAAATTAGAACAAAATTTTTGTAATTTTTAAGAATCTTTTTATATTTTTAAACATGTCCTTTGAAATTCAAGTTTTTATAATTTTTACTTATATATATTTGTAAAATTTTGTACATTGTAACGAAATTGTAATTGTAAATATATTATAAATAACATCTTTCTTTTCGACAATAGAGATCTATGTATTTTCTAGATTATAATTTATTATTAGGTCTACGTAACTCCTAAACTGCTACCGATTCATTTTCTTTCTTTTACATATTTTTAGATAATTCATATCAAATTTATTGTGAAAACAATTATTCCGTCTCGGTATGATTTCATTCGTGCGATGATGTCTAAATGCAATGAACGTAGAGAGGAAATATAAACAACTATGGATAATGCGCAGTTTAAAGTGAAATGATTTTAATTCGTTATGCATATTCAATATTAATAATAAAAGAGAAAAAAATTGATAAATATCTTATTTCTTTTGTACTTGTATTAAAGTCATCTATATATGTACAGATTTATACATACATATATGAATAAATAATAAAGAAAGGAAACATATTTTTACAGTGTTTTTACTGGTATTTATTAAGTTAAGTAATCGTTTCATCTAATAGTACTAATACTAAGTACAATAAAACTGTAAAAGAGATAGTGATTGGAAATTTCAGTGATTAGACTCGTCTTGCTCCTTCAAAACTTAAACTTTGATCGCTCTTGCTTCAAAATTCGATTTGATCTTATTAACATATTGCACACTGCTGCTAGATAAGACTCACTAGAGATTCAACAAAAGCTGTTATATTTTGATCATCACATTTTTGATAGGGGATCAAATGGTCTCGATTTTACTGAAAATTTTACTCTTTTGCCTGGCACACTACCAAGAATTCAAATATTAATCTTCTTTTTTTGTTCAATCACCTACTCAACTGTCAACATTTTGAAATGAAAATTTTTTTCAAATGTAATGGCGTTCTTTCATCTATGCTCATACATTTAAATAAAATAATTCTTTGATAATAATAAAAGAAAATTAAAAAAAAAAAATTTTTTTTTATATATATGTAAATAGTTTTTATATATGTAGACTTATTTTTCCTATCCTTCGAAACCAAAGTAACTCTTTACAGAAAACTTTTTGGGACATATCGAATTTATCGTAAATAAAGGAAAACACAAACTTTTATTAAGTAACGAATACATGACCGAAATGTTTATGGGTTAGTTTACGAAAGTCTATACTCTTTTGTAGGCCTTTGCCTTCGATATCCGCAATCACAAATTAATAACAAATCGTTTTTGTTCGCTCTAGTTGAAGGCGGTATTCACATTGAATTTTGTATCAATACATGCTGTAGATTCTATATCATAATATTTTAGTTATCGCAGCACTTCCTCGAAGTTGGATCAATGTGTCAAAATGCCAACCAAGGGTCGGCAACCCGAAGAAGATGGCTCTTGGATATAGTACCATTCGTTCAGATCGTGTGTCTTATTCTAGCGGTTCTTCGTGCCACGCTTTTTCAAAAGGATCCGTTGCTGCTTGTAACACTGCCCACTGACAATTTTGCTTCGTAGTAGGCGACTTCTTTCATAGAACGTAGAACTTTGCTTTGTTTGCGAAGTGTCTTGGACTTGCGGCCGAAATTTATGATTCGCATGTTGAAAGTCGCGGTGTTTTCAATACACAGCAACAACATAAATAAATATTCTATGCCAAATATTTTTTTTAATGTCCCAAAAGCATATTTCGATTTTCCATACGGCTCTCAACACATGGGTCGCTCATTTTCCCTTCTTTTCAATTTTGGCCACCGCAAATAAACGTTTACATACGTCTTGATAAGTTATGTTTAATTCCACTTCAAGCTGACTTTGTATATCGTCTTCATATCACAACGCTTGCGCATCTATGAGCTCAGTTGCTTTCGGTCTTCCGATGCGTTTCTTGTTCTCGGTGTCAACGTCGCCACTCTTAAAGCGTTTAATCTCATCTTTTCGATGGTGCATGTTCTCGAACAAACGAATTGCTTCCGTCTTTTCCCTTCTTGTTAAAGTTAAAGCAGAAAAATATAGGTTCCCGAAAACGCTGTTTATCTGACACAAAGTTCGCGATCTCCATTACGAAACGGAAAACGATTTTTGCGTTGCGATATGTGCTGGTATCACGACTCGTTATTGTCGACAGATGTTCATGTTATCATGTAAGAAAAACACAAATTCCAGCCAGACGGACAACTTCTACGATCAACGGATTACTTTTCCGGTTATAAGGGGCTAATACCAAACCTTTCTCATCTTTAAAGATTGTATGCAAAAAAAATATTTGTATCTTCAAAAAAGCCACCGAAAATGTACATATAACTCCTTGTAACACAGGCGGAACGATCACCACGAACTCGAACAATACATCAAGAAGCCAGGACAAAGTTTTAATAATCAAACGGTATAAAGAATTATAAGCATTTTTCAACATATAAATTTTCCGTCTATAAACTGTTGCCGTTGCCATGGTACTTCTGAATATTTTGACACTGTTCCTTTTTCGTATTTTTTTTTTCTTTTGGTATGCGGCAAGAGGGGTGCGACCCAAATTTAGTTCGTTTATCAAAAAATTCGTTAAACCGGGAATCATTTTCTGTGCAATAAACGCAGTCCGAATATACCAAATTGTCAACCTACGTGTCACCTACCTGCGACGCTACCCGGCTTATCTACATTATTAGCCATGGGGAGAACGATATGAAGATTGAAAAAAACGGATTTAGAAATGAAAACAAAACGTCTACATTAGATCGGTTAAAAATCAAAGTTAAATCTGGTAAATAAATTGCTGTTACACAGAGCAATTCTAAAATCCTTTTGGACACATTTCATACAACTTTCAAGAACTGCGTGCATCTCCAACATTGAATTTCTTCAGCGCTGCGAATCTGAAAAGTTGAAATTTGTCGCAGGAGCTCAATGGTTTACGGTGAACAAACATATTTATAAAGATTTAGACACTCGCGCAGTAAAAGAAGACATCCTCAACTTCATTTCTCGATATCTTGATCGACTTGGCCATTATTCTAATTTGCTGGTGGTAGGTTCACTAGACGATAGCGAAGAGTCAAATAGGGTAAAAAGTTACCATATTTTAGATCTGCAATTTGGAAAAAGTGCAAAGGTGTATATATTATAATATTGAAGTAAATTCCACATGTATATATTATTCATTTAGCCAAAAAATAAATTCTAAGACTAAAGTTTTAAAGTACTAGCATCTAAAGGCTATCAACTTTATTGAAAACTCTATTGCACTTGTGATGTGAGCCCACGATAATTGAATTGTAAGGGTGTTGCCTATTGAAAATGATTTGGTCTTGATTGTCTCGATATTGACCGGTTACAGCAATGCAACGAAGTTAGAATTAACGAGGAATGTTAGAATGTGCGAGGAATTCAATATTATCGACATTTCCGTCAATTTTCTCTCCAAGTTTTTTTTTCCAAGATAGTTATAATGGTGGCAATTTTTTATAATGGCAGCCATAATTAAAGCTGTCGCGAAGTCGCGGATTTTGCTGCTGGCTCTGCTTGCTCCTCTCCCAAGGGACCAATGAGTTGCCATCTAAAAAATTAAATTTTTGTCTCCGTCAGTGACGACGGTATTCCTTATTATGTTAACTATATGTTAGTTGAAGTTTAATGGGCTTCGGACAGCTCCTATACCCGGCAAATTATCTATGATGCCCTTTTGGGTTTAGTTTAGCGAGTGGGGTTTGCGGCTTAAATCATAGCTCCATCTTCGGGTGTAACCGTTGATATGATTAACCTGGATTTGCGTTCTGCCATCTACTAGTGCATAGGCAAAGCATAGCTCTGTCATAGAGAAAGCCAACCATTATTTTCCAAAAATTTTGCCTTTTTTTACAATTAGTTCTTTGAAGACGAGGTTTGGCGTATATTCTTTCTTTTTTATATTAAGACTGAAATGTTGCATGTGTGGATGTTTAAAGCCAACGGTGGTCTACACCCAGATTTCGTTATTTCGTTATTTCGTTTGCTACTTACAATGCAACATACAAGAGTTCATTGCGTATTGGTCACTTTTCAAAGCAATCTAGCCTATACAATGCACTATAGTTTGAATAGAGTTCTTTAGGTGAAGGGAGTGTGGTTTATTCGAAAAGGTGACCCTTAAAACGTTAAGTGCTTGAACATTTTTAAACATTAAGTTTTTTATGTGCATCTGTTGATTTTCTGCATCAAGCAGGCGTTTTCTATAAATATCCCGCTTTTTTGGCTTTTATGTTAACATTTTGCGACCGAGAAGTTAGCCCACGACATTGATGGCTATCGTGTTATTTCTTCCTTTTGTTAAAATATGTAGGTCGTCGGAGTATAGAAAATTTTTCCTATTCGGAACGTGCAGCTTATTTCATTGATGGAACTTTGACAAAGTATGACAGATACAGGAGATCCTTGACGAATTCCATTGACTAAGGGAAAATATCTTGACAGGTGAGAATTAAGTTTAACTATCGGCTGTGCTATAGGAAAGTTTTTATGTAGTTGAAAAATGTAGTTTCAATATTCCACAATTTCAAAGGGTATAAGATAACCACTAAACAGATTCTGGTCCAGCTTTCTTCGCAATCGATTGAATCGATAGTAATATGATTTCCTTTAGGTATGTCTTACATTGTGAAGTAGTCAGTATATAATAGAGTATCTCTAAAAAGAGATTGGTTGGTAAAATTCATTAAACGCTTATAGATTCCTATATACTTAATGAGATCTTTCCATCACCCGTTAATGATTTATGAATTTTATAAAAACCCAAATTATTGCTAAATTTCACATTTTATAACATAAATTAAGTAAATTTCTAACGAAATTTTGTAGATCTTCTCTATATCAATTTAAAAAAATTCTAACAAGATTTCATTTAAAATTCTATCGCATCACCTTCTTCTCGCTTGCAATAAAAAAAAGAGTTTCCAAATTTTGTTTTACTATCTAAAATTAAACGCCGTATATAAACTAAAAAAACATAAAAAAAGCAATATAGATTAGAGGTTCAGTTTTGGTTACAATCTCCAAATATTTTGAAAGTTTCTCTATGGGAGATTCTTTTTTAAAAGCTTTACAATATTACATAAAAGCAATTGCTGCGATTGTTGCAAACACATCGATACAATTTGAAGCGTAAATTAAAATGTGTGGGAAAATGTTTGTGTTTACAGAACGCACGCATATTTCCAGGCAGGTCGTTTTTGTATTTAAAAAAAAAAAACAATAAAAGTCTGGTTAAGCTTAAAGTTAAGCTAAATGGTACTCAGTCAGCTTTTGTGATAACATGACGAATAATAATTAATTTTATAAAGTTTTGCGGACAAATTCAGTTAAATCGTTAACCAAAAAGTCTATACATAAAATTGTTGCAAAAACATATGGCAAAAGGAAACCCGTATCATCAATCTTTCCATACATCATCAAACACTTTCCCCATTATAAAACACAAAGGATAGACAAATAAAATCGACTGATCACGCTATTCGATATATTGATCGCATCGTCAACAGACCTAATCCATTCACCTGAACAAATAAACAAAAAAAAAAAATAAAAATAATAATAAAGTACATATTCTGATTTGAAAAGCGATTTCAAATTAAAAGAAAAAAATCAAAACTTTATTCTCAATTCAATTTTACTCAATATTTTTTTAAGCATTAAAACCTGCTCGCAATTTTGCATCTTACACATTTATTACATATTACACATTAACTTCCACATTTTTAAAAGGTATCTATGTTTCACCTGCGTGCTTCAATACATTTACACTTCGCTATATTTTGAAGAGTTAAGAGCCTGATGTAAATAAATCAATGTTCAATATTTGAAGATCATATACATTGCTCATTTTCGGCATCGGATTTACAAATTTAAAACACCTTTAAAGATGGTATGAGTTTGAGACAATGAGTACAAAAACTTATTCGTATTTGTTTATTAAAAAAATAATAATTGTCGTTTTCATATACAGCAATATGTCGGAGGCCGATACATCTATTTCTAGCTACATTTTTGTACCAATTAGATGTTAATCATCATCAGCCCTCGGCGGGGTGTTCTGTTGCTATATCGCAAGTCGGTCTTACTTTTCTTTTATTTTTAAAATTTTTTATGCAACGCGCTCCAGCGATTTTTTTTCTCTGCTTTGTATAGTTGTATTGGATTCCATTTTTGTAACTAGTTGCAAATAAATAATCTTCATCAAGATATTATGGAGTGTTCATTCGCATAAGATTCCAAGCGAGTTTAGGCATGTTCATAGTTAGCTTCGACACCATAGACAAAGAGAAAGCTACCGCATTTATCTAAAATTTTGTTACAAATATGCTAAGTTTTGGCCTCTTGATAATTTCTAACCACTTAAGGTGCTTGTTATCGAAGAATAACCATGCGTAGGCATAGCGTTCTCACATCTATAAAATTCTTCAAATACATATTTTAAGAGATTGAAATTTTCTCCAAAATGGTTCTTTTATGAAAGTATAAAATGATATCCAATCAGCGATTTAAATGTTACTCGTACGATTTCTTGCTTCTTTATGGATAAATCTATTTTATCGTTTATAAAAATAAAACCAAAACGTAAGATGTACTTTAGTTCAGTTTTTTTATTACCTATGTAAGAAATTCATTGTTGTTTGATATAAAAATTCAGTGTGTGGCTTTGTTTCTGAGACTACAGTAAAGGCGATCAAGAATAGCGGAGTTAGTAAGAAGCGGGACTAACAAGCCAGTCGTGCCGTGGAGATTACTTTGGCCTTTCGGTAAAGGCACAACATTTACCATATGAATCCACTAAGTTGAGGTCTCCTCGCTATATATCATTGAATTCTTTTTTCTAGTAATCGCCGTCATACATGAATAGGTGACATCCTCTGAAAAAATAATAAGTAAATTTAAAGTAATTTAAAAAATAATAAATAAATTAAAATAATTCGTTTCAAAACGGAAAATTTCGCTTGCACTGGAATTTGCGACTATTTGCTTTTAATGATATATACCTCGAAAAAAGGAGGCACTACTCGCTTTTAGCAGGAGTACAAGAGCCCACGTAGTTAAATGATGTAAATAATACGGCCTAAATTAAGGGACTATCGTTTAGAGCGTCATTCTTATTTTTCTGGCTTGTCATAAGACGAAAGGAATAATTGTTGAATAGGAGCCTGAAAAATCATTGGAAAACAATGTCTGAAACCATACATTTTCAAACATTAAATTAGGTATACGTTGAATGCCTTTGACAAGCAAATAATACACAAAAATAGGAATGAATTTCCATATGGTTGACAACACTGGCTTCGATCAAAATTAGAAGAAAATAAAATTCTTAAGGGAAAATTTATGTTTTGATAAATACAATATTATAAAAATAAGTAGTGTAAACGCGACGCGTGTTTTTGATATGAACATTTACAATAAGAAATCGCTTGGGAAATTCCTTGCGAAGGTAAATAAAGGCGTTTTATGCCATTGTTTAAAAAAATTTAACTAGTCGAAAAAATGGAGAGAAATATTAATGAAATGAAGAAGTGAAAATGGATATATTAAAATACTTAAAACTTAATAAAATCAAAACACACTTTAAATATTTTGAATGAAATGCAGATGCACAAAGCGTGAGAGAGAAAGAAAGAAAGATAGAGGGAGATATACGCATATTTGAATAGAACATGTGGCCTAAACGAATGTGTTAATAACAATTCAGTACCTAAGCATGCATATAATGAATCGTTCAAAAAAAATTGCAAGTACATAATAAGTCGCCTGATTTTTGTTTACTTTTCTATACATGTGCAATATATGTGCGTATGTGCACATCTGAAAATTTCATCAATTGCTGTGCATTGCTGTATTGTCTTCTTTTTAAACGATATCGGTCAGATTCAATATCATAAAAGTCTATTGTGTTTATCTAAAAATACTTGAGCAGAATGCTTCGAACAAGAAGTCTTTGTATATATATTTTTCTGAATATTAATTCAATTCCTATTTCAATTGTTTTTAATATAAAGTAAAAAAAGATTAAAAAAGAAGTTCCAACAAGAGGAAAAACAAGTTTTCACAAGTGATTACCAACAAGTCGCCTTTATTGATTTCTATTTTACTGTTACTACTTAAATGAATTTGAATATGATCGACTAAAACTTAAGTTTTATATGCGCAATGTCATATTCCTTCTGCAAACCATGCATAAATTTACATATGGACTGTTCGTCATTAGTTTAGCGTTTAGTTACATACATATTGCAATGACGAACAAAAAAACATGCAATTATTTTTAAGTTTTTAATTTTATTATATTGATTTGCTTATTGATTCAGTTGATGAGTTGAATATGAGGTGAATATCTATTATTAATAACATATTTGAAA